TGTGATGGAGGTGAATACCCAATCAATACTCACATTAATTACTTACTTACGCCTGTTACTCCTAATGGAACAGAAGCCACTAAACAGCATTCTCCAACACACTATGTCCTCGGCCTTCTTTTCTAGTTCCATCCAATTCTTGTTCATTTCTCTCATGTCCACCTCCATTTCCCGGAGTAATGTGTTCTTTGGTCTTCCCCTCTTCCTTTGGCCTTCAGGATTCCATGTGAGGACTAGGCTTGTGACACAGTTCGGTGCTTTCCTCAATGTCTGTCCCATTCACTTCCATCGCTTCTTCCTGATTTCTTCGTCCGCTGGGATCTGGCTTATTCTTCTCCACAGTAGGTTGTTGCTAATAGTGTTCGGCCAACGGATCTGAAGTATTTTGAGTAGACAACTGTTAGTATACAACACTTGTATCTTCGGGATGATGGCTTTCGTAGTTCTCCAGGTTTCTGCCCCATACAGTAGAACTGTCTTGACATTTGTATTGAAAATCCTGACCTAGGTGTTGGTTGACAGTTGCTTTAAAATCCAGATGTCCTTCAGTTGTAAATATACTGCTCTCGCTTTACCGATCCGCACTTTCACATCTGCATCACATCCACCATGTTCATCAATGATGCTGCCCAAATATGTAAAGATATTTACATCTTCAAAATCTTCTCCGTCAATTGTGATTGGATTGGTGCATACTGTGTCGTATCTGAGAATCCTGCTTTTCCCTTTGTCTATATTGAGACCTACTGCTGCTGAGGCTGCTGCTTTACTGCTCGACTTCCGCTGCATTTGTTGATGCGTGTGCGATGGTAGAGTCAGATCATCTGCAAAGTCTAGATCGTCCAACTGTATCCTAGATGTCCACTGTATCCCATGCCTCACCTCAGATGTTGACGTCTTCATGAACCAGTCGATCACCAGGAGAAAGATAAAGAATGAGAGTAAGCAACCTTACCTGATACCAGTCCTTACCTCGAATGGGTCTGTGACCTGTCCTCCATGCACGATTTTGCAGTTTATTTCATCATATGAATTCTGTATGATATTGAGTATATTATGAGGCACACCGTAGTGTCGAAGAAGTTTCCATTGTGTTGTTCTGTCCATGCTATCAAATGCTTTTTCGTAGTCAATGAAGTTGATGTAGAGTGATGAATTCAATTCAATTGATTATTCTACAATGATCCATGGAGTTTCGATTTGATCTGTACACGATCCTAACTTTACGGAATCCAGCCTGTCGGTCTCGAAGTTGGGTGTCTACGGAATCCGTCATTCTGCTTAACAATACCCTGTTGAAAACTTTTCCCGGTATTGAGAGAAGAGTGATGCATTTGTAGTTTTCACAGTTGCTGAGATCGCCTTTCTTTTGGTATTTTGATCAGAGGTCCTTCTTTCCAGTTTGTCAGTACTTGTTCCTCATCCCAAATCTTATTGAAGAGAATGTGGAGTATCCTTGCAGTTGCCGCTACGTCTGCTTTCAATGCCTCTGCTGGAATGTTGTCTGGTCCTGCTGCTTTGCCACTCTTGATTTGTCTGATGACCATACTGATTTCTTTAATTGTTGGTGGGCCAACATCGATTGGGAGGTCCGTGAGTGCTAGTTCGCTGTTGGTTGGGTTTAGTGGAGCCGGTCGATTCAGCAGTTCTTTGAAGTGTTCTACCCACCTGTTTCGTTGCTCTTCAATGTTGGTGATTACCTCGCCTTCCTTGCTTTTCACCGATTGTTCTGATTTACGGTGATTTCCGGAGAGTTTCTTTGTTATGTCACACAGTTCTCTCATATCACCTTCACTTGCAGCCTTTTTCGCCCTCATCGCTAGATCTTCCACATATTTACGTTTGTCAGTCCTGATGCTCCTGTTCACTTGTTTGTTTACTTCTGTGTATTCAGCTTCTGCCTTGGCTTTCTCTGCTCTTGTTCGACTGGTATTGATTGCTGCCTCCCTGTTCCTTCTTTCTTGAATCTTTTCCAGTGTATCAACAGTGATCCATTCCTTGTGATGGTGCTTCTTGTGGCCAAGAAACTCATTGCATGTTGAGGTGATTGCTTCTTTGATCCCCTTCCAGTTGCTCTCCATAGTAGTTCCTTCTCCATTGAGTAACTCATGAAACGCCTGAAATCTATTGCTGAGGACTATCTTGAATTCGTTAAGTTTGTCAGTATCCTGAAGAAAGGCAGTATTGAACACTTGTGATATTGTTCGCCTCGTTGTCCAATACTTCTTGAGTTTCAATTTCATCTTGGCAAACAGCAAGTGATGATCTGATGCTATATCAGATCAACTTTTGGTTCTCACGTCTTCTATAGTCTTCCTGAACGTTTTGATGATGCAGATATGGTCAATTTGGATTTGCGTAGTGTGATCCGGTAAAGTCCATGTGGTTTTTTGAATGCGTTTGTTTTGGAATATAGTTCCGTCTATGACCAGTTTATTGAAGGCACATAGGTTTGCAAATCTCTCACCATTTTCGTTCCTTTCTCTCTGTCCCTGTCGTCCCATGATGTTTTCATATCCAGTGTTGTCCATTCCAACCTTGGCATTTAGGCCTCCCATCAGAATGATCAGGTCCTTTTTTAGGCACTTCTCGACGATTGACTACAGCCTATTGTATAATTGATTTTTAGCGTCTTCATTGTAGTCGTTGGCAAGCGCATAGCATTGGATGATGTTCATTGAAATTCCCTCTTTCTTTGTTTTGAACGAGGCTTTGATGATCCTTGGTCCATGAGATTCCCATCCTATAAGCGCATTTTGCTCTTGTTTAGACAACATCAATGCAACTCTTTGTGTATGTAAGGCATTTTTTTCTTCATGGCCAGAGTATAACAGGAGCTCTCCTGTAGTTAGTCGTTGTTGTCCAACTTGTGTCCAATGTGTTTCACTGATCCCAAGTGCGTCTATCTTGTATCTTCTCATTTCTGCAGCAATTTGGAAGACTCTCACAGTCTACCACATTGTACGAGCATTCCATATACCTAAATAAATGGTTGCTTTGGTTGTCAGAAGAAGCATCGACCTCGTGACTTCCGAAGGAATTCGGCTTTCATCATAATTCTTCTAAATGAAGACCTTCTGACTCCCAGGACAGAGTTTAAAAGGTTTGAATAATTTTTTCTGTTCGGCGTTATTTTAGCGAGTTAGTTTTCTACGGGATGGGGACGCTAACCCCACACCCAACCCTCCTCCTTTATCCGGTCTTGGGACCGGCAGTAGCCCCCGGAGGGACTCACCTACCACTCGTAAAATAATCACTTACCAATTCCACTTATTTTGTGATATTATTACTTGTGTGACAGAGTAGTGTGGTGAATTATAAATATTTGTGTGAATTCCAATATTTAAAAAAGTGTGACAAGAATACATTTGGAGATGAATACCTACATAGGAATTCGATGTCCAGTCGTCCATGAGATGGGTAAAACAGAGGTAGTGAGAATGAAGCTCTAGTGACAAGCACAGAATTGTCTAGAAGTTTGAGCTACATACTTAACTCATGACCTCTACCTCGTTTCTTAGAAACGAAGGCGAAATGTTGAACAGTGATATCAGTCTTGAAAGGAAATGTATTTTGCTTTCTTGGTTCAACTGTGGTAATGAAAATCTTTTGGAGAATGAACGATCAGATTGAAATCACTAAAATGAACGTACTAACATTTGTAACCTATCTCACATCTAGGTGCACATGCTAACATTTACAATGAGTAAAGTACTACTGTTACCGTTTATTTTACCCAAATTGCATGTATTTCACGAAAAGAGTGATCTATCTTTAAAAATAAATGTGATAATGTTAGTGAGAAACTTCATATACAAACATATTTTTATGGTTGTGATGTCAAGAGACGGCTGACTAATATCACAAGCAAAGTCACCAATCAAAATCCTAATTTAAATTTGATTTATTTTACATCTACTTTTCACATCGTAAGTTAGTGTCTCTGCCTATTACTCATTTAATCATCATTATTAACCTTGAGTCGACTCAGTAAAATACCCACTAGTCCATCATTCGTAAGCTTCTCTCTATGTCTAAAAATCAACAACAAGCTTCTATTATGCTTATATTCCTAATGGAAGTGGTTTATATACAGACACCCTGGACCACACCTTACTACACTATACTATACTATAAAATGGAAAATAACAATTTTACACAAACTAGACAAAGTGATAGTGAATAGGGTAGACAGTAAGTAAAATATTGGCAAAAATTATGAACAGTAAGTCGTATGTTAATACTTAGTAGGTTAACCGTAAACTTATGATGAAAGGGATATTTGACATAGTAATCCAATTACTTAATAGTTATACAATAAAAATATATATAATAATGATAACAACCTATAAATTAGTTCCTGAAGTTATCATTCCTTCAGTCTTCGATAAGATATAACATTAGATTACGGCTATATCACTCAACTTCTCTAGTTATATTCCATTTGAATACAGAAAAGTATTTATGTGAAACATTGGGCCTAAGATGGTCTTGGGTTCGAGTCCCGCGTGCTGAATCATGTATGAGTACTACTGAGGAGTCCCCTTATTGGACGAAGCAACTGCCCAGTGTTTCTAGGTTCCCAATGGTGTTCTAACCTAGATCGACTCATGAATTCAACTATTCAAATCTTGAAACTATAAAATATATCAGAAGGGGTTTGTGGAGATTTTAGAAATTTTACAGAATGAAATCATGAGTCAATTGAAGATAGAACACTATGGAAAACCTGGAACCACTGGACGGCAGTTTCGTCAATAGCTTGTAAAGGAAATGAAAGCTTATCATTAGAACAATATGAAAATATCATAAACTAGAATATTGAATAATCATGACATCATAACAACAAATAGATGTAATAAGTTATCAAAATAATAATCATTTGAAATTTTCCCCTTTTCCTTAAATATCCTCACAAATTTAACAATATGTTGGTACACTTCAATATTTAACAATATTTAATTATCATTATGATGTATCGAAAAAATGTCTAGAAAATTATGGAAAATTTTGAGAGAATTCCTAGCAATATGAATACTACTACTAATACTACTATTACTACTGCTACTGCTACTCCTACTACTACTACTACTAATACTACTACTACTACTACTACTACCACTACTAATACTACTACCACTACTACTACTAATAATAATAATGAGCCAAAATTTAAAACTCTTACACCTTTAGGCATTTACCAGAAGAAAAGAGGTAAGTAGTTCAAATTAAGAATTTCCAATTCAACTGGATACAAATCCTTTTTTTCAAAAAAAGCAACAAAAAATCAGTTTTTTTAAGCAAAGATGGGTAGTGGCTAGTAGTGGGATCCAGTTTGATGAGCTTTTCATCCTATTTGAGACTCGTCAGCTGGATGTACCTTCATCCCAGAGTTGATGTTCACTACGCGACTCGAACCCAGTAGCGTTCGCTTTACAAACCATACTGAGAAAAATAGCATCAAGTGAAGAAAATCAGGGTTTTTTACGTACATGAGTAATTAACTTTGTATTTTGATTATGTTGACTTGTTATTTAACAGACCTGTGGTGACTAAAGTTTCTTTTAAAAAAAAACTACAAATATGAGATTGAAATGAAAAAAATAGATAGCGAACTAAATCCTAAATGAAACGTCCAAGATAAATCCATTTGGCAGTGGTGTAAAACATTTGGTTATGTCTGAAAACAATGATTTTTACATGACTGATATTCAGAATTGAATCAATGGAATTGACTGGTACTTGACATTGAGTAGTCGTTTCCAGGTATCATGAACGAACAGGGGTAGCATATAAAGAAGGGTAGTAATCAAAAAGTTAATGGATGAAAACAGTTTGAAATATTATAAACTTAAACTGCTATAACCAACAAATGGTTCCAATTTATTGAATAATATAATGAAGTCTATAATGAAGTTACAGCCATAAAGGTTCTTTTGTTTATTCTGTTTAGTGTTTTTAGCAAGGTTGCTTTCTACGGGTTGGGGTTGCTGACTTCATACCCGACACTTCTCCTTTACACGGGATTGAGACCAACAGTAACCCTAGAAGGGCTATAAGCGAAGCAGACGTCAAAATGATGAGTAGCAACTGGGAACAACTGGAAAGAATCGCCCAGGACAGAGTTCAATGGAGATTGCTGGTGGACGGCCTATTCTCCTTCACATGGTATAACAGGAGTACTTAAGTAAGTATAAAGTTTCTTTTAGCGTCAAATTTTTGGTAGTGTATAGTAGCAGCAATAAAAACTCTATAAATGAGCCATTATTTACGATATATTGTCCATTACTATATGACAGTGTTAACTAGGAAATAGGTATCCATTGTACTGATCTATTATTTTCAATGAACCGGAAATACTTCACTTACCCCATATGAATCCACACTGATTATTCACAATATAATTATTATCATATTCTGGACATTATTAAAAAATCCATACTAGTCCGCAGGCATGAACAGCTTGGTACAGAAAGCTATGTTACATGTAAAGGACAGAGATGTAAAGTTGAATTTTTGAAATGAATTTGTCCCATTAGAGTTTGCCAAGCAGATCCATCTTTTGAGTGTATGTAAGACAGAAACAACAACAACAAAATTCTATTCATGAATTTAAGCAGAAAATGGATGACTGTTAGCTAGACACCTTCCAAAGGCCGACTATTTCTTGAAAGTTAACAGCATCGGATATAACTGACAATTTGAAACTGGTTAAGTTATTGTCAACTGATTGAGCCAACCACCAATTCAAATGATAAATAAGTATTTGTATCTTGTGTAACAAGTATTCAACATTATTTCAGCTTGACGATCAAACATTAAATCCGATCATGACTTGAGAATTACATCAATTTTACGATGTAAACCGATTACTAGTTGATGATGACTGGGTAGATTTTATGCGAAATGCTTCGACGGACTACATTTGTGTAATTTCGAATCGCTCCCACCACTGTGTTACTTATGTTATAACTTCGTCAATCGGAAACAATGTATCCAAGGTATGAACGATGAAATCAAGTGAGAGGAACAAATTTATGGTTTAATAAAAGTTTACAGAGGGCTTTCATGAAATATGAAAGCCATACATTAATTTGCACATCCTTTATGATTCTTTCAATTCCATTGTCATGACGATTATTTTCTGTTCCTATTTCCGATTGTTGCTACATACTGTAAATATAAGTAGCATACACCTCATGCACGTCACCACTTCATAATTCACCAAAACTGATTTGTCCATCAAATCCAGTTTTAACTTCTTGACAAACTGTTCTTCTTTAATAAATTGAAGCATTGCAACCAGCTTAGTGATACTGAACACACTTTTACAAAACATTTCAATATGACAACTAGTTATGTTTTCAGAAGAATAGATTGAAGTGAATAAATTGAACTCCATTCGATTAACTACAAAGTTAATGAACATGTGATCTTAAATACACTGTCTATCGAAATTCCACCCGAATGATATAGATAAGTACTAGTTTGTTAATTCGATTGTCAACAGAACATCACCATAAATGAATCAAATGTTCGGTAATATATACATTTCATATAATATCATAATGAAAATTTTAATGTTGTTCATCAATGGATCATTCAAAGGTGATAATAATTAAGGGAATGAATGAATTTATCCATAAGTAGTATAATGAGGCAATGAGTTAATCATTTTACCATTTTATATGGAGAGTGACCTAGAGCTATAAACTCCAAAATACAATCAAAACTGTAATTTAAACACAAATCCATATGAATAAAACCACCCATTTGTAAGTTCTGTAAAAGGATATTTAGGTTGAATGTAAGAAAATTATTCAGTACACTGTTTTAATATTTCATTTAAGGTGTAGGAACTGAAAAAAAAACTCCAACTGAAGCTCTTCAAGGGTTACTGACGGTCCCAAGACATGGGTAAAAGAGGAGGGTTGGGTATGGGATGACTAACCACATCCCGTGGAAATCGATTTTACTGCAGAAAAGCTAACCGGAATAAACAAATAAAGCTATTTGATCGCTGCTCTCTGAGTTTAATGATCTGCATTCAGAAGAATTGTGTCGCCTTATGGTAAAAACCGAGATGTATCCAGAATCACGAATCCGATCCACCTCCTAACAAACACAGCAATAATGAATATAGGTACAAGGAATGTCCGGACAATATGAGAGACCGGGTGGACTAGTCAAATAGCTATGTAAATTAGAAAATAAAAGCTGACGGTGCCATAAATCAGTAAAATCCATTGGATACAAGCTGGACAGAAAAGGATTGGGTCGAGAAAGATGCTGCTGTACTCTGATCAGGAAAGAAAATTCTCCGCACACTCACAGATTTGCTCTGATTCTGTCCGAAAAAGCACGAAATGCACTTATAGGATGGGAATCTCATCGTTCCAGGATCATGGAAGCATCCTTCAAGACAAGGGAGGGAATCACAATGAATGCTATCCAATTTTATGCACCCACCAACGATAGCAATGCCGACGATAAAGATCAGTGCTACTAGAAGCTGTAATCAGTCGTGGAAAACTTATCAGGAAAACACCCGAAAATTCTAACGGGAGATCTAAACGCCAAAGTCGGAATGGACAACACTGGTCCGATATGAATGACTAGGAGAATCGAACGAGAATGTTATGAGATTTGCAAATTTATATTCATTTAACAAAATGGTTACAGGCGGCAAAATATTTCCACATAAACTCAAACACCAAGATACATGAATCTTACCGGATCACACTACATGGAACCCGATCGATCATATTTGCGTCACTAACAAATTCACAAGGTCAATGGAGGACGTGAGAACTAGGAGAGGATCTGGCAAAGCTTTATATCACCACCTGTTGGGGTTGCCAAGATGAAACTGAAACTGAAAAAGCAGTGGACAATTAGACAAACAGCATTGCAAACGTTCAACACCGCCTTACTTCGAGAGACTGACAAACTCAACGAATTCAAGATAGCTCTCAAAAACAGGTTCCAAGCCTTACAAAATCTACTCAAAGAAGAAGAAACTACTATTAAGAACAAATGGAAAGAGATCAAAGGAGCACTAACTTCAACGTGTCAGGAACTGCTAAGCTGCAAGAAGCATCATCATCAAGAATAGATCTCTATAGAATCCCTGTTTCGGATTTAAGACAGGAAGAACAAGAAGACAGAAATTAAAAACAGTAGGACACATCCTACTCGAATAGTAAACGCGATACTGATGAACGGGGGTCTATGCAAATCATATAGTCAGGACGAGGACAAATTGGCTCTAAACTTTATCTGTCCCTAAACGTAAAAACAACTCCGCCTGGAGTCCCTCCAGGGGCTACTACAGGTCCCGAGCCCGAAAAAAGAAGGAAGGTTTGGCATGGGATTAGCGACCCCATCCGTTAGAAAACTAACTCGCTAAAATAACACTAATCAGAAAAAATTATTCAAACCATTTAAACTCTGCCCTGGGAGTCAGAATGTCTTCATTTAGAAACCACATGGACTTCACAGGATCACACTACGCAAATCCAAATCGACCATATCTGCATCATCAAAACGTTCAAGAAGACTATAGAGGACGTGAGAACCAAACGTTGAGCTGATATGGCAGCAGATCATCACTTGCTGGTTGCCAAGATGAAATTGAAACTCAGGAAGTACTGGAAAACGGTGCGGACAGTATCACAAGTGTTCAATACTGCCTTTATTCGGGATACTGACAAACTTAATGAATTCAAGATAGTCCTCACCAATAGATTCCTGGCCTTTCATGATCTACTCAATGTTGAAGGAACTACTATGGATAGAAACTGGAAGGGGATAAAAGGGGCAATCACTTCAACATGCCATGACGTTCTGGGTCACAAGAAGCACCATCACAATGAATGTATCACTGTTGATACACTGGATAAGATTCAAGAAAGGAGGAACAGGGAGGCAGCAATCAATACCAGTCGAACAAGATCAGAAAAAGCCAAGTCACAAGCTGAATACACAGAAGTAAACAAACAAGTGAACAGGAGCATCAGAACTGACAAACGTAAATATGTGGAATATTTAGCGATGACGGCGGAAAAGGCTGCAAGTGAAGGAAGCATGAGAGAACTGTGTGACATAACAAAGAAACTCTCCGGAAATCACCGTAAATCAGAACAACCGGTGAAAAGCAAGGAAGGCGAGGTAATCACCAACATTGAAGAGCAACGAAACAGGTGGGTAGAACACTTCAAAG